CCCAGGGCCCTGGGGAGTGAAGGAAGTGACTCAGACAAACAAGCAGAGTTCTGCCTCCATGAATCCCTGTACCTGAAACTCTGCTCAGAGATGCGTGGAGGAGCCCAAACCCATCCCCCAAAGGGAACCTGGCCATCTCTGGATGGTGAGACTTGGCAGAACTGCACTTCCTTTCCCTTAAAAACACTGAAAAAAAGTTCAATTCTTTTATTTTTAACTTCTTACTTATGAAAGCAAATAAGCAACATGATCACATGCCCAATACTCCAGAAGCCCGTGTGATTAGCTGGGACAGCTGAGAACACCAGAGATTACGACTTCAAGTCCTGAAAATATCAGTGAGGAAAAACCTAACAGCAGGTGGGCCAAAGAGCCACATTACAGTCATGGCAACAAAAAAGAGGTGGCCATAAAAGGGACTTTACTACCAGGCCATCCCAATAACTGAAGGCTTCACATGGATCCAGGTGCCAAATATCAATGATCAAATACCACAGCTATCTTTATTTAGCTCAAGCCTTTTGAGAAATAGTAACTGCCAAGCCACGTGAGCTCTCAGGATGGCCGTTGTCCCAAAGGCCACTTGATCGGTTATTTTCCTTCATGTCTGGTCTGGTCAGACTTGTTTAAAAATTGAAGCAATTGTGTCTTGAGGAACTCAGGTGATCCTGGAGGAAAAATCAATGACAAAAAGCCCTTCCTGTCCTCACATCCCCTCTTCAGAGAGCTGTTCTCCCTGTGGGACCAGATCCTGCCCCTCCTGAGATAAGCATCCCACCTGGCAGAGTGGCAGCACCTGCCACCCTCCTGGCTCTGATTGACTCCCTGTCATTTCACTGTGTGGCCATGAATGCCAAGGGAACAGCGTGTTTGTGTGGTCACTGCCGTGACCTGGGAGCCCAGAACAGTGGCACAGAGGGGTCCCACTCAGTCAAAACACTGGTGGGAAAGAAACGGTGAGGAAGAGGGCCGAGAGGGAGGGCAAGCATCCTGGACTTTACTAACCAGAGGACAAGGAGGGACCTTCTCAACTCTGTGAAACCCCTGCAGCTCTGAGGTCAAACACACACTCTGTCCTCCTCTTAGGGTCTGCGCCGAGGCAGCCCTACGTGCATGCTGTCCATTCCTTGTGCTTGGCCCTTCACAAAGGTACCCAGACCACCAGAGGCTGGTGGCGAGGACCACGGAGCCCTGAGACTGGAGTCTCAAGGACCCCAGCCCTCTGCCCTGTGCTCATGATGTCTTGACATGTGTTGGGCATTCAGAAAACAGCAGACTCCCACAAAGATCTGGCTGGCCATGGAACAGCCGGAGCCTGGGCCCCATGAATCAGTGCCTTGTGTCTCTACGAAAGGAACAGCTCGTGATGTGCAAAGTTCAAAGATCATTATTTTCTGTCACTCTGCCTTCATCCAGGAGTGATTTCTCCAAACAGTACCCTGGAGTTTAGTGCTGAGCAGCTGGGAATGGTGTCCTGTCTGCACACACAGATAAATAAGGGTGACCTTCCTCTGTGATGGATTGGTGCTGAAGGCGTTCAGGTACATGAGGACATGGAAATGATGCTTGGTTTGTTGGGAGATGGAGTCTCCTTCACACTGTGTGTCCCTGTGCTTTACCTTAGCTAAAGGATACACTGCCAGAATGATAAAAGTAATTGCAGTAGTAACACTACACTGGCATCTCTTCAACATTTATTATGTTCTAAGAAAGCGGGGGGAGCATGCTATGTCATTTAGTCCGCTCACAGAGCCTCTCAGGTGGGTTACGTCCCACACTACCTGGCACTAGGCCCCAGTGCACGGGCAGGAACAGCTACACAATCTGTGGGGCCCAGTGGAAAATGAAAACGCTGGGCCCCTCATGCAACAATTATTAAAAGTTTCAAGACGGCAATGACAGAATGCTAACACAAGCAGGGGGTGCTTCTGAGCATGAGGCTTCATGAGGCTTCACAGGCCACACCCCATTCGCTTGGTCCTGGTTATGTGGGCTCAGAAGAAGTGACACAGGTGACGACAAGGACCTCGGTGTTGTACCCTCTCAGCTTGCTTTATATTACAGGATGCACTGAGCCTGGCTATTAATCAGGAGAGCTGCTCCTCTTCCATCAGGAGTGAAGTCAGTTCATCTGATAGAACTGCACAAATGCTCTCGCACAAATATTCTTTGCTGGACCTGCAAAGAGATCACCATGCAAATGCTGCACAGAAGAGACCTGCGGCCCAGGCTGCTCTTGGGAGGTCTCAGCCTCACACAAGGTCTGAGAACAGATGGGGTCTGCTGTGTGCAGATGTGGACTCATCTTTGAGCAGATGCCAGTGCAGATCCAGCCAGAATCTGACCACAGAATGGAAGCAGAGGTGGCAGCCCCCTATTGGCTAAGTGAGTAGCCATGCTCCAGATTTCCCACCTGACCTTTTGGAAGATGGTGACCACTGCCAACCTGGTACATGAGCAGCAGCCCGTGCCTCAAAGCCGGATGCATGGACACAGATTCTGTCCCTTCCACCAGCTGAGTAGCTTAGGCAAGCTTCCAACCCTCTTTGAGCTTCAGTTTTCTCGCCTGTAAGATGGGGCTAGTGGCGCCACCTCTTGGGGTAAGAGGTAGTTAGTGGAGGAGAAGACGCAGTGTGTAAGAGCCCCTGGCCCTCGTGAGGTTTAGCTCTTATCCTGCCAGGATGGTCTGGGGCTGTTTCCATCATGGAGTGTGGGGGCAGATGGAGGAGCTCACGAATAAAGGTAGCAGTACAGGCTGAAAACCGAACGCTGTCCTCAGCTCTTGTGAACTGGGAAAAGGCATACAATTCTTTCCAAGGTCAGTGTACTTTTCTGTAATATGGGTACTGTGCAGTACTTAGCACATACAGGATCAGAAGAGCCACAAGTGAGCTGGACATTATGGAAACTGGAGAGGTACGACTTCTATATCTGGCTGGGGTCTTATTGGTATAACTTGCAAATGGTTTGGCTGGAGTGTGGGCAGGAGAGTGGGTAACACCACCTTTCCCAGAGTTCTCCTGTCCTCGTAGATGCTACTGGGGCTGTCTTCCCTGTAGCTCTCCTACAAGAGCTAAGTAATTTTCGTAGTTTTAAGAACTCTGTTTTGCAAAATTTCTACATTATTGACCCCAAATCTGACTGATTCCATTTCAATGCCTGCTCTACAGTTAAACTCAGAAGGTGCTGAAAAAGAAAACAATGAATCAGTTCAAATACTGTGTTGCCAGAGGCAGCTATTCCATACTGACATGCAAGACATTATGTATGTTTATGGGATAATACCAATCATAAACAGAAGTTCACGGTGGTTTATGTGTTCCTGGAGTTGCATCTACCCTAACTGAATAGCTTTGTGCTTTAAGAAATTCAACATGCGTAAAGGATTCTATTTTTCTTAGAAAATATGACATGTACATAAAGCAATAAAGTTGGAACTAAACTTGAAGAAGGACACAGTGGAAGGCAAATTGGACATCGTCTAATCACATTCGCACATAAAACACAAAGACACAGGAATGCTACAGTGTCCCAAATGAAACCACTTCCATTTACATTTAGAACACTTTTCCCACTATCTACATTCCAGTCCCTGGTGTACAGGCTCTGGGGGCCACAGATGGGAACCGAGAATCTTTCCTTTCTTCTCGCACTCTGGCCTCTTTAATAGCTTTCCCCTATCAGGTCTCCTAACTTGTTCTGCACATCAGCTTGTTTGAGCAGAGTTCTGTAGACATCGAACCCAGACTCTAGGATCTTTCTCCCCAGAAACACCCTTTCTCCCAAAGCAGCCCGCTGAAAGGTGCCACCTGGCTGGTCTGCCCTGAGGAGGTCGGACTCGCCCTCCGAACTTCTGCCACTGCTGCAGGCCTGTCTACACCGCTCCACCTCCTCTTCTCCCCCAGACACACTCCCGCACACACAGCAGATTCACCTTCATTTGTACTGAGTATATTCAAAGCTGCAAAGGCAGAGGGGGGCTCCCACTCTTGGGGATTTTGATGAAGTGCACAGAGGCCCAGCATCTTGCATATGAGTATTCACCTGGTAGCCTGGGAAGGTTACCATGACAGCACTCCCAGCTGTCTGTATCTACAAGCCATTGATATATCCCATCAATTCAGCCAAGGGGGAAGAAATAGGTGAAGCAGTCTCAGATTTCCCACTCCATTCTGGCCACTGAATGACTATTTTACTTATTGTTTGGACATAATCTTAGACTTGGAAACACTGATACTTTTATAAGAGCACTTTTTCATTCAAAAGTATTTTACAGCTTAAAATCAAAGTCCAGTCTAATAGGGATTTTTCTCCTTTGTTCTTCACTTTCTCCAGCCTTGTACCCAGGAGTAACTTCTGCTGGCCCTGAAATGCTTTAATTAGTATGTTCCGGATCTAAAAAGGAAACTCTAAATTCTAAAACCTTCCCTGATAGGTTAAACACAAGAAAAAGATAGCAGTGAGCTCCACAGTACCCTTGAGTGATTTCCATAACAGCAGGTACATGCATTTCCAGAGAGAGATAAAATGTCCTGCCTTTGGCCCTTTGACTGAAGACAAAAGGTTTCTCCATGCATAACTTCTAAGGAAAGGGAAAAAACTCCTGTTTCACCAAAATGTTCTTATTAAAAGGCAGTTATGAAAAGGAATATATAGTGAAGATTTTAGTTCTCATCAAAGCTCCACTGTAGCATAAAGTTCAGCTACAAGGGCAAGCTAGATATTTACACCGTGCCCCCACCAGCCGCCGTCAGAGACTTGGACCGTGGTCATCATGGACGATCACCCTCAGAGACAAGGAAGATATTTTTGTAACTTGCACCAACCCCACTTGCTCTGTGCTTCATCTCTCCAGGCCTTGCCTCAATCCAGGGAAATGACACGTTAATGTGGATGCATGCCAAGGAGTTGGAACAGTAATTAAACAGAGTCTGAAGTCGCCCGAGATCATAGCGTACCATCTCCGAGCCATCAGCCAATGGCAAGTCAGTTTGACATACCTGTAGGGGACCCTTCCATGACATGGCCGACGTAGGGGCCTTCCCGAAAGATGGGCCTGTTGTCATTCTGATCAATCACGATGACATCCAGAGGCACCGGTCCCTCAAGAGTTTTGCCATTGACATCAGTGGTCTCCACAAATAGCTATTTGAGCAAAGAGATTGGGGAAGAAAAAAGGCGTTAGTTCGATTATGAAAACTGAAATCAGGTTCCCTAGAGAAAGTAGGTGGTATCAGCAATTTTATGAGCCCTGGGTGATATTCAAACAATGGTCTCAATGGTCTCAATGGAGCTAAGTATTCCAGAATAAAAAGCGAAGATCAAGTTCATGGTAGATTCCCCCTTGGGAAATTTACAATTAATTCATCAAATTTGCAAAGAAAGTTAAAAAGAACCTTGTAATCAGCCATAGCTGAGAAAATATGCTTACACTGTTTCTGTTTTTCCAACATCATTATCCTTAAAAGGAATGTTATGCTAATAAAAATAATCAACTAAGCAGTTGTGAACTGAGCACATTAAGAGATAACAGAAAGTGTTTATGGTGATACTTAGGAGAAATTCAGGTCTGTAAGTACTTGCAGGGGGTTTGTGTAAAACCTTGGGATTCTTGCCCACTAGGCCTTTTATAAATTGGAGGACTTCTCATTTTTAGAAAACTCTTCTATGGCGAACTGCTTTCAGATCTCAATGAAGAAGGCAGCATAAGAAACAGCTTTATTGTTTGACTTAGAATCAAAGCAGTTAGGCTTGGCATTTGCAGTGACATACAGGTCCTCTGTGTCTTCTTTCTCTGTGCTTCATTCAGTCTTCATGTTACTCAGCAGTACAGTAGCACTTCTCAGAGGAAAAGGCAAAGGGTGTGGCAGTGTTTCTGTCAGCAAGGGCATCTGCAGGTGTAATCCTAGGGAAAGGGCTTCTGGATTTGGTCACGAGCTATATGACCTTAGGGGAGAGAACTGCTCAGCTTCCTCATCGGTAAAATGGGGTCAGTAAAACATCATGTGTTGGGGATAATAATAACCAATGATTAGCCAGTGCTTTCTTAGGTAATCAGCTATATTCTCTCACTCGAACATCACAGTAACCCTATAGGCCATTTGACAGAAAAGGGAGTGGAAGAAAATAAAATTAAATTGGTGGAGTCCAGAAGTGAGCTTGGGAAGTCTGCCATCAGAGTTCCCATTATTAATCACCAGACATACTATTTCTAAAACACTTACTCTATAGCAATATGCTCTTATCATTGCTTTCACTATTATCAATATTATTGTCAAAATTAGCCTGAATTAGGAAAATGAAAGAGAAACCCTGGATGCACTTTAGTATAGTTCTGCCTCACCTGGTGATACTGTAACTCTCTTAGAAAGTAGCAACAAAAACCAGGAACGTCTCATATGATTTGCTCCATCTCAATCCCCCTCTTCCTCCTATTTGAGATAAGTTGTGTTACACAGATTAAGATATTTGCTGCACTGATATTATGACTCATGAAATCGCACTGGCAGCCACAGAAATACCCAGTGGGAGGGGATGAGTTGAATTCATGTTTGTGCAACAGAGTTTTAGACTACAGGTTAGGCTTAGATAAAACAATTGTTAAATCTTGTTGCTCTACTTAGAATATTTTAGTACACGTGAGAACAGACAGGCAGCCTCGGCAGAGACGGAAATAATGGCTCCAAGAAATGGGAGCGGGCAGTCCCACCTGCCTTGGCTAGACCCCAACTCAGACTGGAGTTCTTGTCCCAGAGGTTGGCCTGCATGGGAACAGTGAGCTGTGATATGCAAAATGGCATGGAGGGCTAGAACGGGCGATGCTCCATCAAGGATAGCAGGAAAAATGGTGCATAGTTGTTGTGTCTGATGATCTATTTGGAGGCAGTAGCCCAAACCGACCCATGGCACATCTGGCTGGCCTGTGTGTTGTGTGTTCCAGACTTTGCCGTTGACACTTCAGGCAGAAGCATCCAATGCTGCCTGGCACATAGGATTGGAGACGGTGTCCAGGCCCCTGGAGAGCTAGGGACAGCATCCCGGATTAGTGATCAGCAGAACAGCTTTCCCGTGGATATCAACTTTTCCAACTACTTCTAATCGCCCACTGTGCATGAGGGTCTCTTCGAGCATACTGGATCTGATCATGTCCTGAGATGCTTCAAACTGAGTGGAAGTAGAAGAGAATTGCCCACTCACTGACAAGTGACCCGCCACGGGAATGTAGCAAAGGAGAGGTCCGGTGACATCTATCCAATGACACCCATCCCTTCAGGGCCTGCGACTCATCACGGCCCCTCCCAGAGCAGGTCCCTCACCCTGCAGGCCAGATAGGGCTGGGGGTGCCTGGTCTCCCACAGTGGGGACCCACATGGCACAGTGCCCTTCCTCTGCCTCACTTTCCATAATGTGGAACTACTCTCACATCTGTGTGAGCATTCAGTTCACAGGGCAGGCTGTGGGGGGTATTCCTGCATGTGGGCGAGTCCCTGGTCCCAGCGCCCGACACACGATGGGCACCTATGTGAAGCTGGCTGCAGAGTCCTCTTCTGAAGAGGAGATGCCTCTATAAGAGACTGGGCTGCAGCTCTGGCTTCAGCCTTGGCCATCTGTGCTTTCTTTCCCTGGCTCACGGGGCTGAGAGTCCATGTCACCCCATGGGGCCCGGCCAGTTGACTTTTCATGCAGTCTTAATTGACCAGCAAGCACCTCAGCAGTAGATGGCTTGCTTTTCAAAAGAAGGGAATCGACATTTACTTGCTGTTTAATACATGTCCAGGCTCTTTAGGCCTTGTTTCATTTGGCTCAGAACCACGAGGAGAACTGTTCATTGTGGCAAACCCCACAGTTACAAAGCTACTTTGTGACCAGGGGAAATCTAAATTTAGCTCCAACTCCAAATTCACATTTGCCTCATTGTTTGCTAAGTGTTTTTTTTTTTTAATGGGCTGCCCTTACAGATGTGGTTTTGTTTTCCTTACTAACTTTATCATTTACTTAATAGTTTTGCTTTCCATCAGCTGCTGTTTTTAAACCTGGCCTCATCTGAGGCATGGTTATCCCTGAGTTTAGGAGTATGATGCGCTTATGTATTTTATTAGTACACATGAAAACACACATTAACACACACAATGAGCCTCTGTGTACAAGCAGCTCCTTGCCATAGGCTGGGGGCTGGAAACATTGCAGCAGTGGTCCAGCTCTGTGCTGTCTTCTGGAAAGACAGGCTTTCAGCAAAGCAAAGCAAAGTTGTCCTTGTAAGTGTAACTCTCAAATGACCAGTGAATGTATGGTGTAGGGTGGAATTGACAAATGCAAATCACCCCAATCTCTTTAGGGCAAAAATATTTTATCTATGAGTAGAGACATTGAGATGCCATGTGAACACAGTGGTCCTCTTCAGGGGCTGCGGTGGTGGGCACCAAGCATGGGTCCTGTCTTCTGAGTCCTGTGTGCAGTGGAGAAGAGGGCCCTCTCTAGACATAGGGAGTCCTCTTGAACACCCCGCCCAGCACTTGGGGTCCTCGGCTCTCCTTCCACCCCGGGGGCATGTGTGGGGAGGAGTTTGCACCAGACTTGCAAACGGTCAAGTCACTTAACACGAACTGATGACTCTTCACACCAATTAAGGCACCATAATAGCAGAGATTGGCTGTACACACCATGTGTTAACAAGAATCCCTTGTTAAAAAAACACGAGAAGACAATGAACCAAATTACAACGCATGTACATGCACGCTGGCCTTCAGCTTCACAACAAACTATTAACATCTCATTCTGTGTCTGGCTCATCTTCTCATCTCCCATCATGAAAAATGCAATTTACTTCAGCAAATCTGACACTGTGATCTTGCCCAAAGGGATGACATGATGGAAAATAAAATGCGCTGCAAGGCTTTTTGAGTGAAGGCTAAAGGGAGAAGCAGGCTCTTAAAGCCAGTATTCTGTGTATCGCAGGGTGACCCAAGTAATCAATGAGGAGCCTGGATCAATGGAATTAAGAGACAAAGCATGGCCCACAGTCCATGGAGTTGAGAGTCACTGAGAAGAAAAACAATTTAGGGAACACTGCAATGACCTGTCTCAACCCTGATGCTTCTGCTTTGGGAAAATATTCAAATGAAGAAAAACACACATCCAAATGCCCACCACAAATTGCCATTTTGAGGTGATGTAGTTGCACATCTGCTTGTGAGCAGCACATGTACGCACACACACCCTTTTTAGCTCCAGTGTGCAGAGCACATGACATGAAGAACATGTATCAGCTGCAGCTCTAACCAATGAGGTTTACTTTCTCTTGAGAAGATGAAGATGTCTGCCACCCAGATGAGTGCCATACATCTAAGTTATCTCCTCAGGGCCATTAAACATTTTTCCAACCTGGATGCTGCCATTTATACCATCTCTGGACTTCCTCTTTAGGAACTTCGGCTTGAATAAGTTTATAAATCACAAGCACATTTATTTTATTACAAATATCTTCTGTAATAGAGCATATCTATAATTCTAGAAATTTAAAATGACCTTGGAGGTTCACTGTGGAGAATTAGGGATATGCACAGCCTAACAATGCACATCTAGAGTATAAGTGTAGATGAAGGAAGTGTGTGCGTGTGTTTGTGTTTACCTCCAAACTTAGAGATACAATATGTAAACAAGGATGCAAGTGTTTTCACACAGACAAAGGAAAGCTGAGACTGTTGACCATGAGGTGCTGAGCCACCACTCCGGGGTCACTATGGTGGCATTACAAGTTGACATGGTCTTCCTGAAAGGCACTTTCGAAGTAGCTCTGAAAACCTGCAAGACGTTTGCAGCTTAAATAAGAAAACAATCTGTGAAGTTTCCATGGAAATAAGCTCCTAGAGATTTTCTTATAAGTATGCTAGACTATTTATAATGGATGATCTCTAAAGTTTGAGATTGATAGATGTTAAAAAATGCTATTGTCCACCATGCATATAATGTTTACTCTGATAAGCATGAAAATGATAAAACTCATTCTAACTCATTTTATAAATGTGACAAATTATTATTTTATGAGTCCTAATATATTAAAAAGTTACCAATTTACTAATTAGGAGGTGATGTATTCTGCACTTAGATGAGGATGTACTCATTGCTCATTGGACTGTAAACAACTT